CTTGCTTGCTTTCTTCCTTCCTTTCTTTCTTGCCTGCTTGCTTCCTTCCTTTCTTCCTTGCCTGCTTGCTTCCTTCCTTTCTTACTTGCTTGCTTCCTTCCTTTCTTACTTGCTTGCTTCCTTGCTTCCTTCCTTCCTTCCTTCCTTCCTTCCTTCCTTCCTCTAAAAGATAATAGCTTTACAGATACCACAGGGTTCAAGCAAGTCATTAAAAGTCATTCAGTTATAATTTTTTAAATTAAAGCCTTAATTGGGATTAAAATTAATTAAATGTTATCATTGTGGCATTTAAAAGCTTTATTTAGAAAAAAAGTTCATTAAAACAATATCGTTTATAATAAATCTGCGTGTTTGCGCAGAACTGCTTGTGGTTGATTGTAAAGCCGTACGTTTGGAAAAGAAGCTCCAGGCTGCAGCCTGTTGATGGTGAAGATGACCAAGGATTTTGCCGTGTTTTTTATATATATATATTTGAGGGTCATGGCTACTTGTTGATGGCATTAAAATAATTTCTAAGAGCATTAAAAGTGCATTAAAAAGTATTAAATTAGAGTTACTCATTCCTGTATAAACCCTGTGCCATGACCATCTGTAAAAAACATATAGAATAATAACATGAACCAATAGAACTGCAAATAACTCTAACAAAAATGATCTACCTAAAAGTTTTAGTATTTGCTGTTTTGAAATGGCCGTTAAGGTTTGGAAACTGTAAAATGTTTCTTTATATAAAAATATTTTTTAGCCTTGTTTGTAAAGGCAGCAGGTCTGAAAGCCTCAAAGTTTTGTTAGATAAATCTGAAAACAATTATCATGAAGACGTCGATGGTGGAGAAGTTTACAGCATAGTTAGTTTATGAACATTAACGCAAACATTTCAATCCGTCATCTGAACATGAAGAGAAGATAAACTAGCTGCAGACCAACCAACACATTGACTTTTAGATAAACTATCCAGGAGATTCATGTCTGCAGATTCTACAGCTAAAAGTCTGTTAATGTTTAATGCTGTGACTCCTACCCTCCACAATCTGGCTTTTATAGAACAGCCAGAAAAGAAGTTCTGTTTTCAGTTTGCTGTCTGGGATCAAAGCAACATGTGGAAGAAGAAACTTTGATCACAAAATCTAAAAAAAATAATTTGCTGGGCTTCTTAAAAATAAATAAAAAGGCTCCGTGTTGCAGAGATATTACAGTGAGACACGGCGCAGGCAGTATCATGCTGTGGGGGTATTTTTTTCTGTTTAGAGTTGATGGGAAAATGGAAGGAGCTTAAAACTTGGAAGGAGGTTTATTAGTGATTTTTTTTTTTTAAATCAGACTTTAAAACCAACAATGAGAGTTTTCCTGCTTTAACTCCTTCATGTCTGTAAAAGTAAAATAATCTGGTTTATTTCTTCCTGTATCCAATAATCCACTTTAAAACTGGTCTCATTACTCCGCCCCAAATCTTTTGATTCATGCTGAAATGCCTGCGGCCCTGCCAGCTCATTCCCAGCATCCTGTTAGCTCATCGCTGTTAGCGCTCACATTAACAAACACCAGTTGGCAGTTTGAAACCTCTGTGGTCCCTCCGTCCTGATGGGGCTTTCTGTCATACTGCAAATAGTTTAAAGTTTAGATAATCTTAGTCTTTAGTCTTATAAAACAGAGTATTACCATGTAGGCCTCAAACCTCCACGGGTCAGTCTGACACAGACCCCCACGTCTGCAGGTTGAACTGTCTGATCCACCTGTGGGATTTACCCACTAAATCTCTATTTATTCACTGATTGCCCGTTGGTAGTACGAGGTCGAAGTAAAGCCACCGGCTGCCATATTGGTACTCCCTAGTTAGACCGGTCGCTATGTAAACAATATTTGCGCTACAGCATCGAACAAAGATGATGTTCTTATTTTCACTCAGGACTTTAAAATAAAGATGAATTCATCACTTTGGCACACAGACTGATGTTTCATCAGTAGATCAACTTTAACTCATAATTAAAAAAAATAGGCACATCGCATTGCATAGTCATTATGAAGTCAATTAAGCCTATAAATCAAGTAAAATGAATGTGTTAGAGGAGCATGATATTACAGATGTGCCAAAAGTGATGATGTGTGTATATATATTAGAGAGTGACATGGGAGTGGATTTTCACTCCTGTCACAGAAA